TGTGTTGTGAAAGAAAACATGCTTGGCTATAGCAATCAGCTGATCATTTTTTTAAAAAAAAACTACCTATTCAGATAAAACATTGATTACTATGAAAGTTTAACAATTGTGCCTATTATGAGAAAAACCACTAGGGGTCAGTACTGTAAATGATTCAAACTGCAAGCTGTAACTTCATGCAAACCTGTGCACAAAAGCACTGTCATAGGCTTTCTTGTGGATTAATCGAGGGATAGTGAAAACCAGCGTACAAACGATTGACTCCAGTTCGGGAGTTTGAAACGAACGCTGGAACCATACTTGAAAATGCGTATATAAAATAGAAACAAGCCTCATTCGGGAGATTGCATGAAATGTACCAGTAATAACAGTGTATCGTAAGAAATTATGCGAATAACGTATCGAGATAGACCTGACCCGTGATGACACCATGGAACTGTGACCATGGCGCGAAGGGTAGGTCAGTAGCTTACGGTTTTGGTGAGTTCCTGGCTCTGTCCTCTGAGTTGTTTGTTTGGAGGGAGCTGTTTGGACGCAAAAGCTGTGGCCCGTGACAGGATTGAGCAGAAACAGGTGAACCACGTGGAACAGGTAAATTTTGCAAGATGACGACCTGCATGCGACCTGGAAGCAGTCGCATGCAAATCGCTAGACCATGGACGTGGGGAGTAAGGTAAGGGTTCCTTAAGTAGGGAAAATACATGCTCCTCCCATAATTACAGCCCATAAGACCATGTGATTGTGATGACATACTCTGTTTGCATATGGACTGCCTGGTGTGTTAGGCAGTTTCACAAACTGTAAGAAAAAAAGCTGGAAAATGAATATATGCCTACATGTAAACCTACATGCAAACATGGAAAAGGGGTGGAGTCCCCAATAGCATGTGACTGCTAGTTCCACTGGTTCGTTTGGCGACTGCCACTCTTAGTTCTTTAGGTCACTTTCACAAACACACCACTTTTTATACTTTATCCCTATTGTTTATTTTCCTCTCTTCATTGAATGTTTAAAATTTGCTTTGGCCAGATAAGTTTGTCCAAATATGTTAAACCAGGCCGGCTGAACCAAATTTAATTCACAATTTGTTTTGGTTTGATTGAATTTTATTAAATCAATGCAAACTAATTATAACGTTAATCTCTCACTCATTGCTGTCAAGGGAGGGATTTACATTTGAAGCAGAGCATATCCCCATCACTTTTTCCCCCCAAATCCATATCCTCTGGGATTGGGGGGATTCGTTTAATATGAGGAGGACCTGCTACAGTGTCCCCCCATGCCTCTCACTCTTTGCCAGCAGTTAAAGTGGTGGGATAGCAGAGTTTCACACTGCTTCCTTCCCTCAATCCCCTGGCCTGTGGCAAAGGTGGGTGCAAAGTTTAATAAGGGTCCTTTTGCAGGTTTCACCCATGCTCCTTACCTATTACTGTCAGCCTTAGAGCAACGGGCTGACTCACCCTCTTCCCCATGTCCTGGGCTGTGAGTTTGGGATAATTAGTTTAATATTTGTTGGACGTGGAGCAGTCTACCCACCATATTCCTTGCCCATTGCCAGCTTGTGAGGGTTTAATTATAGAAGCAGCAGGGAGAGTAGTTCCCCACCACATTCTTCCCCCATTCCCCTTGCTTGTGCAATTGGGGACCAGGTGCAGATCAGTGGCGGATCCAGAGCCTGATTTCGGGAGGGGCACTTGTAGATTATTTAAAGAAATAATTTAGGCACAATAACCACTACAGCTCAGTGTAGTAGTTATCGTGCCAGTAGTGCCAGGATCCCATCTTAGAGTAAGTAGCCAAACCATTTAAGAACAGTTTGACAACTTACCTTGAGCCTGCTGGGATATAGGGCATAGGAGCAGTGGTATGTGTTAGGGGTGAAGTGTCTGTGAAAGGTGCAGTGTGTGTGTGTGTGTGTGTGTGTGAGCTGTGAAGTGTGTGTGTGAGGGCGGCAGTGTATGTCAGGGTTGCAGGGTATGTGTGGGGCAGTGTGTGTGAGAAAGCTGCAGTGTGTGTGAGCGGTGCAGTGTGTATGTGAAGGGGGCAGTGTGTGTGAGGCTTGCAGCATATGCGTGTTTGGGGCAGTGTGTGTATGGGGGCACTGTATGTGCGTGTGTGGGGCAGTGTGTGTATAGGGGGCACTGTATGTGTGTGGGGCAGTGTGTGTATCGGGGGGCACTGTATATGTGTTTGGGACAGTGTGTGTATGGGGGGCACTGTATGAGTGTGTGGGGGGCAGTGTGTGGGGGGGCACTGTATGTGTGTGTGGGGGGGCAGCAGTGTCTGTGGGGCAATGTATGTATGGGGGCAGTGTGTGTGGGGCAATGTGTGTATGGGGGCAGTGTGTGTATGGGGGGGAAGGAGGGTATGGAGGCTTTTTAATAATGTTTTCATTTTTTTATTTAATAAAATAAATATATTTATGTCCCCCCTCCCTTCTTACCTTTACTGGGGACATTTCTCCATCCCTGGTGGTCTGGTGGGAAATCCCTGGTGGTCCCAGTGGTTAGAGTGAACTCTAGCCCGCAGCTCCAAGGCTAGAGTTCACTCTCGCAGATTTGGAGCGTTGCCGTGGTAACTGTGACAACGCTCCGTGCTTGCGAGAGTTCCCGGGTCCTCTCTCCCTCTCCTGCCAGCTGTCAGCATGGTGCCTGCGGATCGGGGAGGGAGATCTCTGATCTCCCTCCTCGGTCCACAGGCACATTGCAGGGCTGGCACTTGGACAATGCCAGCCCTACATTAGCCGGCAAGGGAGAATCTCGGGGGGGAGTTTTGGGGGGCAATACCCACTGGTGCAGGTAACCATACCTCTTACCCATTGCCATTTTTGAGGAGTTAATATAATGAAACATTAAATGTTAAGCTCCCTGCGCCTTTATTCATCAATAACCTGTGCGGGAGATGGGGGCCAATTAGTTAAAGGAAGGAACATTTCTAAAGATACTAATTACAAGTAGGGAATTGGTAGCTCTCTCCTTATATTTAGATTAACAACAAAAAATTAGTGAATAGCATGGACTACTTTTGTCCAACAAACAATCCTGTTTTTTTAATTTTTTTTATTTTGTTGACAGTTCAATTCATTCATGATTCTTTAAGGAACACTATAGGATCAGGAACACAAACGTGCAGCCCCCTCCCCTCCCCCACCGGTCCCCACTTGGACCCCTAAATATAGTAAACTCCTACTTGAATTCAAGTCTGCAACTGCTGCCTTTGCAGAAGTGATTATGTGAGCCAATCACAATGCTCTCTTATAGGATTGGCTGAGACTTTAAATGAGGCAGATCAGGAGCCGAGCCAGCACAAGTCAAACAAAGCCCTGGACAATCAGCTTCTCCGCATCGAGATGCATTGAATCAAGGTATATATATGAGGAAAGTTCAGTGTCTCCATGCAGAGTGTGGAGACACTGAATGGCAGCGTGGCATAGTGCAGCACTGCCCCATGAAGCACCTCTAGCAGCTATCTGAGGAGTGGCCAGTGGAGTTATCTCTGGGCTGTAATGTAAACACTGCATTTTCTCTGAAAAGACAGTGTTTACTACAAAATGCCTGAAGAGAATGATTGTACTCACCAGAACAAATACAATAAGTTGTAGTTGTTCTGGTGACTACAGGGTCCCTTTAAGGATGAACAAATCGCCCTTCATTCAGATGAATTTACTAAACATGTCTAGTGATAAGTGTCAGGTGCAAAGCTTATAACAATAGTTTACAGGGAGCTAAGTGCATGTGCCCACCTCCAAGTTAAAGAGGTGTGGATTTCTACATTTAGATTTACAACTCACACTTCATGAAGCCTTATTTGTTAAATATAGAGATAAGTAAAGATGATATTAAAAATCCTGTGAAATAAAAGTTCCTATTTAAAATTTTACTCTTATCTTAGCAAACAGATATAAAAAAATTCCATACCAGTTTAGACACGAGTCTTACAGTTATTTTGACACGCCAGAAAGTGCCATAAAAAAGAAAGAAAATTAACAAAACTACATTTTAAAACCAAAAACGATATAGTATAGTATGCCAAAAATGGAAAACTCAAAGTGGTAAAGCACAAATTGTGTAATTGAGCAAATAGAACATTTTGGACACTTCTGGCCCCTTCAGCAGTTATTGTTGCATTTTGTATGGTCTCTCAAATGGAAATTAGAGCTGCAGTGTATATCAATTCTTCCAACTCCACTGGTATATAGGTAACTTTTAAGGGGTCCACATGGCATAGATTAATATTTTAACTCTTGGGTGTTTGTGGACTATTCTTTCTTTTATTTGCCCTCTGAACACTTTTTTCCCCACACTTTAGCTTTTAACCAAAAGATTCACATTTGCAAAGTGACATTCACAGACTGATTCAACAAGCAGAGTAATTATAAAGTAACAAACCAGGAGGTTTACGAACTTCTACAACATAATGAGAAGAGCTGAGATTATAGATTGCTGTTCTGATCTGAAAACTTCCTTGAGCTAAAGTCATATTTATGGAATGGATACAAAATAAACACCTCTGAACAGAGGCGGCTCTCTAATTAGGTGATTTAGGCGGCCGCCTAAGGCCTCGTGCTGATGGGGGCCTCGCGGCCGCCTAAATCACCTTAGGGCAGTGTGACAGGTTGGGTCCTCGATCAGAGACCGAGGACCCGACACGGGAGGGGGCCCGGCGGCTTGCCTTTTATGCCGCCGGGTGCGAGGCCCCACCACACCGCATGCCCGGGAGAGCCAGCCTGTCTGCAGCTCCGCCGAGTGCAGAGCTGCAGACTGAGTGGGTCTCGTAATCTCAGCCAATCAGAGCTTTGCCGCAGGTTACCACAGCAATGCTCTGACTGGCTGATATCGCGAGGTCTGCAGCTCTGCACCCGGCGGAGCTGCAGACCGCAAAGGGAGCCCACCGGACCACCAGGGATACAGCCTGGCCGCCCACTGGACCACCAGGGACTAAGTTAATCAAAAGGTATTTATGCTTCAGCTCTCCATCCCCTACCCTGCCCTCCTACCACCCATTGCCCTGTCATAGCCCCCCTACCACCCATGCCCCAGCCACCCTCTGCCCTCCTACTGCCCTACCACCCCTGCCCCAGCCACCCTACCACCCCTGCCCCAGCCACCCTCTGCCCTCCTACTGCCCCACCACCCCTGCACCAGCCACCCTACCACCCCTTCCCCAGCCATCCTCTGCCCTCCTACTGCCCTACCACCCCTGCCCCAGCCACCCTCTGCTCTCCTACAGCCCTACCACCCCTGCCCCAGCCACCCTACCACACTCACCCTATTACATAAACCCTTACAATCCTGTACTCCAACACTCACCTCAAACCATGTCACACATAGGTAGACAATGTCAGATACACTCAGAAATACACACACCAGCACTTATGTATACACGATTGCAAGGATATGTAACCGTACCCCTCAGTCATGTATAAACGATTGGCATAATTGCTAATTACATTTGTTTATTGCAAATTAAGTTAGTTTGCATATTATGCCATAACTACAGTCAGAGAGATCATAATGCTGCGGCACAGGGATCCGCAACACTGCAAGCCTCTGAACGATGAATACAGAGACTAGCTTTCTGTATCCAGCGCTACAATTGTCCTTAAATACAGCAACTTATAGAAACAATGCAACCCCTATTTTTAACTTTAGGTGTTAGTGGAGGCCTCATGTTTGACTTTCGTCTAAGGCCTCAAAGTCTAGAGCCGCCACTGCCTCTGAGTACGTATGCTTTTTAATCAAGAGAAGGTCCACAGATCAAGGTTGGAAAACATCAGGACCCCCAGGTATGCCAACCCACTTTACACTTATACAGCAAACAGACCAAGAGACAGAGTCGTCAAAAGCAACAAGATCCTCGCCTAAATAACTGCAGTATAACTATGTAATAGAAATTATATCAATAATATTTCAAAATGTTTATGTTTTATGTGGAAGATAAGATAGTAGAGAAGGGGGATGTACTGGAAATAAACTATATGTTTAAATGCTTTTGATAAAGATTTACTAATCACTAATTCACGAAAAACTGATCAAAACCTTTTAATTTTGTCGATCATTTCACACCTTTATATTTGTTTAAAGTAAAATTTATAAAATTATCAAAGTTTTAGTTTGATAATTAAGTTTTTAATATATGTTTTTTAATTTTATTATATAATTTGTGCACAAAATAAGACATATGTTTTGGATTATTAATGCTGCAACTTTTTATAGCCAGGTAATGAGTTGGCCATTCTTGTTGCCACAATGACCTGTGTGTAGGTTTGCTGAGTTCTGCAAATTGGCATATAAGGACAAGACTCCGTTTAAGTCTGCACATACCATAATTGACATATCCTTTGTACAGGCATTAATTTAATTATCTTTTTTAGCTACACTGTATACTTTGTATAATATGAATATGTAAAAGGTTTAGTTTATACGGTATATGCTAGCTAGTGTATTATCTACTTTAATGAATTCAATGGTAGATATTTTTGCTTTGGGTTTTGTTACTATAAGGGGGTATTCCCCTCAGTCTTAATTTGATCATTTATTTTTATTTATAGTAAGATAGTCTAACGCTTTTATACAGCAAGGTCAAATTGCCTTTTACCTTTATATTTAGTGATATTTGTTATCTTTTTATTGTAGCACTAAAGATCTTAAAATGTATAGCTTGGAGGAAAGACAAGACGGTGGGATATAATTGAAACATTTAAATACATAAAGGGAATCGACACAGTAAATTAGGAGGCTATATTTAAAAGAAGAAAAACTACCACAACAGGAGGGCGTGGTGTTAAATTAAAGGGACAAAGGTTTAAAAATAATATCAGGATTACTTTACTGAGAGGGAAGCGGATGCATGGAATAGCCTTCCAGCTGTTGCGGTAGAGGTTAACACAGTGAAGGAGTTTAAGCATGCGTGGGATAGGCATAAGGCTATCATAGACATAGGATAAGGCCAGGGACTAATGAAAGTATTTAGTAAATTGAGCAGACTAGATGGTTTTTATCTGCCATCACATTCTATGTTTTTATACAGAGCAGCCTTATTGTTGTGATTCAGGGTTTAAACTTTTTCATTTTGATACAGATAACATTTTAAAGGAGAATTGATTCCTCTCTGGAATTTATGCCTCTGGGACAAAAACATTGAAAACACTTTTTTTATGTGATGCATTTTTTTTCTTTTAAAATTTATATGAACAATTTAGCAAATCACCTCGTACTCTATTTCCGACAAGGCAAAGTCAGAACAAACATTGAAAAGGAAGAATAGAAATAAAAACATTGTTTTATTATGCCCCTTCTCTGTATGCGTTCTCTATGCTGCCTGGCAGGTGTAAAGCTAAGGAGCTTGTAACAATGACTGGCACAAGGTGATATGGAGGAGTGCTCTGTCCAGCCCCTATTACTTAATTAAAAACCCACACCTGATGTTCATAGGTGGTGGCACAGGGGGACCATATTTTTCCTGTTATCTTGGAGTCATTTTTTATGTTTACTAGGTATGTCCAAATATATATATAACATTACATTTTTTATTTTTTTTATTTTTATTTATTTTTTTATGTGGAAGATGGCTGGCAAGTGCTGGCCAGTCACTACTTGGTTAATCCTTGCGGCACAATGGTTATTTAACCATTTGCCTGCTATTGCTGCCAGTGAGGAAACTTGACACGGACGAGCATGTTCATTTGTTTTGTGATTCGGTGTTCTTTCCATAACTCCAAAAAGAGATGATTGATGGAAAGATTATTTTTTTTTTGTTCATTCTGATACCCATTAGATGTTTAGGTATTGACTCGGGCATTTGCTAACCCAGTACGCTTACCCACAAGATATGTGGGTTCATTATCTGAGCAATGGGAGATATTGCTCGAGATACAGTATGGCAGGGAGTGTTTGCCAAACACAAGCTGTGTCCTAGGCTGATTCCTTTGTTTAGGACCAGCCTGTCTATGTGTGTTATTTTATTATTTTATATACCCTATGTTATGATAGCACTGATGCACTAATTGGAGAGTGAGAGAGAGCCCTTTGAGCTGGCAGAAATTGTTAAATTAAGCCAGCATCTTTGAATACCCATGGGATTAACTCAACATTTAAAAGATCTCTAATTCTGGATTTCCTGAAGAAAAACCAAATACAAATTGGCTGGAATGTGTCTGCTGACTGAGCTACAGGGTCATATGGTCGCCGTCCGTGGCGAAACATTCGGTGAACCATTCGGGACATCACTATCCATATACTTTTAAAGCCAGCCAGCCAACCATTAGCCTGATATGCCTTAAAGGAGCACTATATGGTCAGGAACACAAACATGTATTCCTCACCCTATAGGGTTAAAACCACCATCTAGCCACTCTGGTGCCCTCATGCCTCCCTTAATATAGTACATCTTACTTGTATTCAAGCCTGAATCTGCTGGCTTTGTCACTGCTTCCGTTTGACCTGACCACTGCCTGCTGACATCAGCAGAGGTAGCAGCCTGATCCAATCATAATGCTTACCGATGGGATTGGCGGAGACAGACAAAGAGGCAGATCAGGGGCAGAACCAGCATGATTCAAACACAGTCCTGGCCAATCAGCATCTCCTCATAGAGATGAATGGAATCAGTGCATCTCTATGAGGAAAGTTCAGTGTCTGCATGCAGAGAGAGGAGACACTGAATGTTTGGATGCATTTTAGGTAGCCATGACCCAGGAAGGATCTCTAACAGCTATCTGAGGAGTGGCTAGTGAAGTTATAGGCTGTAATGTAAACACTGCATTTTCTTTGAAAACAGTGTTTACAGCAAAAAGCCTGAAGGCTCACCAGAACAAATTCAATAAGCTGTAGTTGTTCTGGTGTCCCTTTAAATTCAATTAAGAACCACATCCATTCTTTCTATGACATACAAGAGGATGATAATAGGGGAGATGCCATCTTAGTCTTTGAACTTGAACTTGGTCACCCACCATTACATAGTCATTTCAATTACCTCCTTGACACCAAAATAAAAAATACCCTATCTAGCTGGAGACAAGTGGACTGTATCTGAGTCAAACAAACCAGAATTCTTTTCTGTCAACTCTGATTGCCACTAGGAATAATTAATGTAGATATTGACAGGTTAATCTTTTTCTTAGTCCTTTCCAAAACCTTAAATTCTTGCACGTGCAAGCACATTAACTATATAATCTGTGAGCATAGTAGGCAAGTACAAAAGAACATTTCTTAACGTGAAAAAATAAATTTAATTAACTTACTGTCCGAAGAAAAAAATGCAACAAATGCCTTTTCTGTCAACATGTAAAATTACTGCATGTGGTTTTGGCCAGAATAAGACACACATTGATCACATCTGCAATCTTACCATGTTTTTAACCACTTACTGCTTCACAAAATATCAACACATCTTCAAACTAAAAGCTTAAACTGAGACTATATTTCCATTCCTCAACTCTCTTCTGAGAGCATATAGTAAAAAAAAAAAATAAATCATCTGAAAAATAAATGCATTAACACAATATATACAATTCTATACAAAATGATGAATATATATGGTTTGAATTCCACTTTTTTATCTTTTTAACCTTTTCATCTGACAACCCAAACCTTGCAGCTACTGCCACTGTACTTTTTTTTGCAACAAATGAGCCAACATGTTTTTACATTTTAAATGCCACAAGCCTAATCTGTACAAAATCTATTTCATAAATATGTTAATCTGGCAAAATTATAAACCGGCAAACCCCCCCCCCAAAAAAAAAACACAACTGGACAAGCTTTTTAACATTTAATCCCAAACAATTAGATGCAATCATCATTAATATCTGTATGAGTTTTGGACTGCTTCAACCAAAATGGTGACTTTGTAATTGGTAAATTGGTAAATGGTAAAACTAAATCAGAATAACAAACTAAATGTATTAGCAGATTGTTTATAAGGAAGGCTGCAAAAAGGCTGTAATAAATGCTGATTCGAAAAGAGTGACATTAAAATATGAATAAATGAATAACAGATTGATGGTAACGTGCGTAGTGACTTCTTATATATATATATATATATATATATATATATATATATATATATATCTTTATTGAAGTTTTTTTCATATAATACAAGTACAATAAAAGACAGTGATAATCTTTTTTTTAGAAAGCAAGAAAGAGAAAATAATTAAAAATATTTGTATAAACATTGCAATAAATGTGTACACAAATGCATAAATACTAATATATATCCATAAATAAATAAATAAATTCTGCCTTCCCTATCTTCTTTTCTATTAATCTCTATTTTCTATTCGGGTACTTAGTGCGATACAGTGTTCATATCATAAAATTCATTAATCTGTATTGAAGAAAAGGTAGTAATAGAAAAAAACTGGGGGAAAAAAAATTAGAAATAAAAAAGAAAAATTAACAAACATACATTCATTAACATGCTTCTTGTTCCAGGCGGTTTATTTTATATAATTATCTGTTGTTTCCAGATACAGCGTTCTTTATCATTTGTATTTTTGGAGCATTCTGGATTATTGTATATTTTTTAAAATATATTTCACAGAGAGTAACATTTCAAGTAAATTTATGATCAAGGGCCATTTTGACCAAATCTTGTCGTATAATATACATCTGTATTATATAAATATTTCTCTCCCATCAAATATAAAGATGTGTTCCCCTCTTTTGTTGACATCTATTTATTTGAAATTTAGCTATTCGAGTGGGGACTAAATACCATTTGTGAGTTATCTTATAAAACTGTTCATTAAGGTTAATACAGTGAACTTCTTTTCTAGTCCTATTCCAGGCTTGGTACCAGGTCTGGATCGGAAATGATAAATTTAAATCTATTTTCCAATTTTGGAAAGCTTTAGGTTTGTCAATTATTTTTGAATTAGCAAGAATATTTGAGATTTTTTGAAACCACATTTTTTTGATGATGATATATCAAAAACATCATCCCATATATTAGAATCGGATATATGATTTACTATTAAAACGTGTTTGATCCTAATGTAATTAAATAATTATTTTATAGGTAATTTAATAGTTCTCACAATATCAGGAAATATCATCAATTGGTCTAAGTTAAATAAATCTTACAACCTGTTAATGCCTACTGATTTCCATGATGCTAAATTTAAATCTGTAATATAAATGGATAGAAGATCAATAGGAGTATGTTTAGTAAAGATGTCATTACAATTATATATCTTCCTAATTTTATGAGCTGATGTCACAATACCCTTAATTAAATGGCTATTAATCTGCAGTGTTTTTTAAATAAAATGGGAGAATACCAACATAGTAAATATGGCTCACAGATTCCTGTTCTATGTTTTTCAATATTATACCAGCCAAGATTAGATTCCTACCTTCTCTTCCAGTCTAGTATATGGAAGAGTTGGAATGAATCATGGTAACAATACATATCTGGATATCCCTAACTGGCCTGTGACATACTTTTATTAAGGACAGCACTTGGAATCCTTGTTTTTTTGGATGCACAGACAAAGTTGGAAAATGTCAGATCAAACTTTTTCAAGAGTTAGAAACTTGGTATGGTATAGCTCTAAACAAATAGAGGAGTTTCGGGAGTACATAAGATTTCAATACCAAGACATCCCAGCCATGAGATTTCTAGTTTCTTCCATTGTGTCAATGATAAATTAGGTTCCCCCCCATAAAGTTTCATAATTATATCCGGTATTTTTGGTCTAATCTATTTACCCAGGAAATGTATGGATTTTTGATACACATCAAATTGACCAATGTCACCTATATCCTTTTTCAGATCATCAGCCATATAAAATGTCAATATTTGAGTTTTACAAAGATTTAATTTATAATTAGACAGTGAGGAGAATAGATCTATTGCATCTGAAAGAGCTGGAATCAAGGATCCTGGAGAAGAGATTTGAGGGGAGAACATCGTCTGCATATAATGTAATAGTATGTTCATGATGGCCTATCTTTATACCTCTAATTTCGATGTTATTTAGAATAAAAGCGGCTAATGGTTTGATTGATAGGGGCCCAGCAACTTTTTAAAGGGACACTAACTATCAGAACCACTGCTTCTCAACTGTCAACATTGCCTTTGTGAAACCAGCATGGTGAGGGCTGAAGGTGAGTAAAAACTCTTTATTTTCTTTTTTACCGGGTTGGAGGCTTCCAGTAGATAGGAGAACACTTTACCATTTCAAATACAGATAATTATTTTTCTGCCATCGACCACTCATTCCTTTGTTATATCCTTTTAACAGCATTAAGCTTGTTTCTCATTTTTTTTTTGTTTATATAGGTACATATGCTTTGTAGTGATGACACACTGTGTGGTATTTAGATTAATTGGATTAAGACTCTTGTCTTTTCCCCTTAAGTCTAAAATATAAGGTGAGTTTCAATCTATGTATTATAGTCCATTACATATCAATAAAATAGATTTTACCCATAGTTTGACTAATTTGTATAATATATGGGTTATGTCTGGCTACATATCCATGAGAACAAGGCAGTCATTGTATTGGGGTTTCTATAAAGGTTGTCAAAAAAGATGGGTTAATTAAATGTTGGCTACTTTTAATTTATTTAACAAGTCATTAATGCAGACAAATATCTGCTTTCCTGTGTAACCTTGCATACTAAAAATGAGATTATCCCCTTGGATAATCTGAGTATCACAGACTAGCCCCACACATATGTAGACATATTCAGTTGTAATGAACTAGGCAGCATATGATTGAGAAATGTAACTGAATGAAACATTTTCGACAATAAACAGTATTTCCAGAGATAAGTGTGGGACTACCTTCAATGATATGAAAGCAGAATAGGCTTTAGAATGAATACGATTTCTGGAATAAATTAGCTGAACAGAACTTAAAAATTAAGATGTGCAGGTTCATATGATATGCCCTTTTACAACTAGTGGTGTCACCAATAAATACAGTATACACCACCACTGCCTGCTGATTAACAGGGGCATTTAAATGCACCAGTACCTGACGAGATGTACTTGAAATACTGAAACGTGAACTGGGCTGTTTTTTGTTTTAAATATATATATATATATATATATATATATATATACACATATATATACACTTTAATATATGTAATGAGGCTGATAGGTACCACTCCTGTGGCAGTATAGCAGATGGTGATGGTCGAGCAAAGCTAATGTCCTTGGTTAAATCCTAATGTAAATAATTACAGGCAGGTTGTCTCCCAGTTCCAGCAATCTAGCTGTGGAATGGAATTGTTATAGGCAGGCTGCACCACAGCTCTAATGTTTAAGTTGTTTTGATAATTCCTGTAACTATGTGTTGCATAAAATGGGACACCCCAAGCTTTTGGGCTTTATGCTGACTGATAATGTTAGCTCCCGTGCTAATTGATTTATGATTATTAGTTTTTCGGTTGGGTCAAGCCCTCATGCCCTAATAAAAAGGGGGTGCAATGTCAGTTATCCTTACGGAGATATTTATCTTTATTAAAGTGAAACTATAGTGCCCTCTCCGTCAAGCCCTCTCCACCCCCGTTAAGCAGGAGGGGTTAAAACCTCTTCTGTCACTTCCTTTGTTCCAGTACCGATGTCCCGCAGCGCTTGCCTGGACTCTGCCTCCACTCTTCCCCCGCCGATGTCAGCCAGCGAAAAATATCTAATACGTATGCGCGGCGATAGCCTCGCTCGCATTGGGAGGTACAGTGTCATATAGGACGTACAGCGTCAGTTTGGCAACCAAAAGTAGACAGCCACTAGAGGTGGAGTTAATCCAATAAATACAATAAGTACCTGCAATTTACCTACAATAAATACCTGCAATAAATACCTTTTTAGGTTTAAGTGGACTGGGACTGTGCACCCAGACCACTGCAATGAGCTGAAGTGGTCTGGGTGCCTATAGTGTCCCTTTTACTTTTGTACTATGTTTCAGATTTTTAACCACTAAAGTTCAATTTACAGAGCAGGATATAAAAACTTTTAAAGCAAGTTAACATATGATGGAAAATGTAAACCATTTTTTAAATGCAGACTGTGTGAATCATAGCCAGGGGAGTTGCGGCTAGGGCTTCATAAACAGAAACAAATTTAACTTCTAAATGGCAGAGAATTGAGCAGTGAGACAGCAGCGGCATGATACCTATAGTATCCCTTTCTTTTAATTGAAAGTCTAGTACTGATACTATAAATGTTTAACCTAAAGATTAGTACGTTTGTAAAGGTGTGTCTTATGTTATCTGAAAGTGTTTTATGGTTTAGGTTTATTAGTTATGTATTTAACCCCTTAAGGACGGAGCCAAATGTACACGTTGTGAACGAAACAAAATGTAAACAAAAACTAGCATTTGCGCTACATGTCTGTCCAACCGTAATTCACCTCTTTCATATTAAATGCACCCACCCTTATTATATATCATTTTATTCAGGGGAAACAGGGCTTTCGTTGAACATCAAATATTTAGCAATGAAACATAATTTAATTTGAAAAAAATGGGAGAAAATAAGATTTTTTTTATTGTTTTAGTTCTACATGACATTTTAACTGTCAATGTCATAATACTGTTTGCTTTTACTGCAATAAAATACACATATTTGTATTCAGCGATGTCTCACGTGTAAAACAGTACCCCCTATGTACAGGTTTTATAGCGTTTTGGGAAGTTACAGGGTCAAATATAGCACGTTACATTTGAAATTGAAATTCTCCAGATTGGTTACGTTGCCTTTGGGACTTTATAGTAGCCCAGGAATGGAATTTACACCCACAATGGCATACCATTTGAAAAACCATTAGTTTTTTACTGTTTCCATTTCCTTCACCCTGTTTTAAGGATCTACGTCCAGGTTGTTATTATTTTAAAATACCTATTGATAACACTATAGTTCCTGTGTTTCATACATATACATATACATACATACATATATTCAACATCTGTTAGATTATGTAATTTTGGCCCTGTATGCACTTTATGAACACAGCTCTCTCCTTTTCTTCAAACACTGTGGAAATAAGTACCATTTCCAAATAGAAACCACCTTTAATGTAATCGATTTAACAAATTTGCATAAAATGTACATTTATTCAGCACACCTCATATTTATGAATGTTTACAGTATGTTAACAAAATTACTTCATTAAAGTTTGCAGAGAGGTGGAACGCGTACATGCGTTCCAAACGTGAACTGATCGTCCGACCGTGATAACATTTAGAAGAGGACGTTAGAAGCCGCGTCATCGAAAAGAAGACGGAAGTAAAGGAACAACGCCAGGTGATCGTAATTCACCATCAAAAAGAAGCATATAAGAATGGTTGAGCGAGAAAGAAGACCACCAAGCAACTAAGGAAGCCTTTCAATAGGCGAAACACGTCTTGCAAGTTTTCTACTTTATGTGGACTATATTTATTATACCACTTTTTACCTTTTTTGTTTTAATCCCATTTTATACTAATAAAGTACTTCCTTGTTTTGGAAATCACGTCCAGTGGATTTATTGGATTAAGAAGGATATTTCTGCATCACAAAGGGAGTGGGGTCCCTTCTAACTTCCCCACCTGCACTTGTGGTGAGCCTTTCTATCAGGCTCCATCTTTGTGAGTACCTTGATATAAGTGTTATTACATATACTTATCACAATTGACCAGCTATATTGCACTAGGCTTTGGCCATGTTTTTTTGTCTTTCACTGCAATATCATATGTTTACACCAACTGCCTCTGCCTACCTTTTTATGTATGTGCAGTTTTTATCTTTGTATGTATTGAGAGGTGAACACACAGGTGTTAGAGTGTATTGGTCAATTCTAAATCACACAGCGGGACTTTGTATTTATTCTTGTATTGTATTTGTATTTAACCCTCTCACTCAGTCCAGCGTGTGAAAATCATGACGTACTTATATAACAGAAATTATCGTATCAATAACATAGATATGTGCTTTATACGGGGCAATAGCATCCCAGCAACATTGACAAAAACAAATTTCATTTAGAAAAGGCATTAATTAAAGAAATGAAAACCAAATGGGAGATAGCCACCCTAACCAAATATGTCAATGAGCAAATTACACCAAGAGGACTTAGATTTTCCAAAGATCCAGCATCAGACAAAGACGACCCCCATTTTATGACTGGGTGGAATAAGATGATGGATGGCTTTTCATTTAGTTTATTGGGCTACATAGTAGCAAAAAGGGAGGAAAGCCTCCCTAAACTAGATGAAGAGATAACCAAATGGAAGGAGGGTCTCATTGAGACAAGCCCAGAAATGTACAACAACATTATAAAAGAGATTAAAACAAAAGTAGACAAAATAGAAGATACCATCATAGAAATTAAAAAGAAAAAATATCTTAGAGATATAAATGATTACAAAACAGGTAACGTTAGGAAGCCTACCTCAAGGAGAAAACCCCATGAACACACTTCCTTCACTAACAAAAAAGAATCATATTATCATAGTCCATATACCCATAAACCACCCTTTCAGAAGAATGGCAGAAGAAAAGAGTATGATAATCACAAACCGGAAAACATCCATAGATCGAACTATGTTACATAGTTACATAGTTACATAGCTGAAAAGAGACTTGCGTCCATCAAGTTCAGCCTACCTCACATTTGTTTTTTGCTGTTGATCCAAAAGAAGGCAAAAAAAACCAGTTTGAAACACAATTTTGCAACAAGCTAGGAAAAAAATTCCTTCTTGACCCCAGAATGGCAGTCAGATTTATCTTTGGATCAATCAGTTATTACCCTACATTAAAGATTATATCCTTGAATATTCTGTTTTTGCAAGTATGCATCTGATTATCGAACAACATCAAGAGCTCAAAAACATACATCAAACAACGGGACCCTAGAAGCTATAGCGAGGCGGTAAAAGAAGGACTGCCAAAAATGCAAAACCACAACCAAAAAGGTTCCACAGAAAATAAGATGAGAAGAGAAAGATCTAAATCTCCAATAGTAACTAATCACTTGGCAATGCATAGATCCCGTTTGTCTCCCAGTATCAACAACCATAAGATACGCCCCTGATCTCACTCTCCTCCCTCAACATCTTCAGTACCTGTAGCTTCTTCACCTTTTTTTCGGAAGGATCTCTTGACCAACCGATTGAGGTGGTCACAAACAAGCACACCACAAGAGTCTCCCGGGAAATGGCAGAGATCCAGGGAAGAAGAAGACGAAGATGGAAGAGAAGAAGAATTGAGATACAGAGAGAAGAGAAACAAAAGACAAATATAGATGGCATTTTTAACCTAACAGATTATTCTTTTACTAAAGAGGAGAAGGAAATGTTAGGAAAAGGTCTTAAATTTGCACCCACCTCTGATTTTAATAAATTTGATTTTTTGTAGATATTAACCATTTTATCAGAAGACTATGCCTCAAATTTTTTTTTTAATGAAAGAAAAGAACAGACTGTACTAGAAACAAATGAGGTATATGAACAAACATCCCTGAAAGAAAGATCTAGTTTCTTTCCAAAGCATATGATCTCAGACCAAATTAAAACCTTTGAAACTATGGTGATGAAAGAGACAGACAAAATAACGAGAATTAATAAATACCAGAACAACTTATCTAAAAAAGAAAAAACTGTCTCTAGATAATGAGAAAAAACCCGAAATATAATAATAAAACCCGCAGATAAAGGGGGAGGAACCATCATTTTTGATAGGGAGAAATACATACAAGATGCTGAGAGACTTCACTTAGATGACAAAACCTACAAGAAGCTACAAGAAGCTACAAATCATATATAAACAAAGGGAAAGAATTAAATATCCTAAACGAAAAGGAAGCTGAATACCTCCTTATGGACAATCCCCGTATACCAGTATTTTATCATCTGCCCAACGTCCATAAAGACATCACCAACCCCCTGGTAGACCAATAATATCAGGCATTAACTCAATATCATCAAGAGTATATGAATATATAGATGTTTTATTACAACCAATAGTAATCAAAAACCCATTTTATTTAAAGGATACGATACATATGCTACAAATTTCAGAACACATTGAGTGGAAAGAAGGATATATTTTAGTTACATGTGATGTCAGTTCTTTATACAGCATTATCCCACACGAAAAAGGCATAGAGGCATTTTAAGGAAGAGCAGACTGATATTATAGAGGGAATTGTATTGATTTTAACCAACAATTTTTTGTGGTTTGAGGAACATTTCTATTTACAGATCTGTGGTAACGTGATGGGCACCAAGTTCGCGCCCAGCTTCGCTAATCTTTTTATGGCGTATTGGGAGGAGAATTTTATCTCCCAAGAGCACGGCTCGGGGGAGAACTTGGTGGCCTATTGAAGGTTTATAGATGACATTTTTTATTTGGACAGGCACACCAACCATTTTAGAGAAGTTTTTAGAATTCCTCAATAGTAACAATTGGGGAATAAAACTCACATGTACCCAGAGCCAATCAGAGATCAATTTCTTAGATCTAAACATCTACATTAAGGATTCATCAATTAAAACTAAGAATTACATTAAACCTGTAGATAGGAACAGTTACATAGAAAGAACGAGCTGCCGTCACCAACATTGGTTGGCCAATGTCTCAAAATGACAGTTCCTAAGGATAAAGAGGAACTGTACAGATGAGAATGACTTTTTATAACAAGCAAAATATTTGGAACAACAATTCCTAGAAAAAGATTGAGGAAGAAAGCATCCCAAACAACTTGGTACAGGTGAAGACCCTATACAGACAACAACTCCTTACATATAAACCTAAGAATAAAACTCAGACAACTAACGATATACCTTTTATCTGCAATTACCACGGAAATACCCGAAAAGTAAAACGAGCCATACAGAAGTATTGGCATATTTTAAAAGATGACCCCGTTTTAAACAAAATCCTACCCCCTCAACCTAAGATCATTTTTAGAGGAACGAAAAACCTAAAAAGGCTTTTAGTTAAAAGCCATTTAGAAACAGAGAAACCAAAGAAGAATTTTTTAAAGGAGCTCTCAGGATTTTACGGTTGTGGCAACTGCCTTCCATGCAGGACCACCAGTAGCCACAAAAGGCAGCTTACTAATATAAGTGAAATTATAGGAAACGAATACACCATCAACGTTCATGCAACTTGTTATTCTAAAGGAGTCATTTATGCTCTAAAATGCTCCTGCAACTTATTATATATAGGCAGAACAATTCGCCCATAAAACATTAGAATTGCGGAACATACGCAATATAAAAAAAGGTCTCGAAACCCATAGTGTTTCTCAACATTTTAAAACCACCCATAACCAAAACACCACACACCTCTTTTTCTGTGTTTTAAAAGTAGTACAAAAAGATTGGAGAGGAGGGGATTTTATCAACAATTTGGGAAAAGAAGAGATTACATTTATTTTTAATTTCAACACTCTTATACCATATTGATTAAATTCAGACTTTGAACTCTGCCATTTTTTATGAATGCAATGATTCGCATGTTTAACTATGTTTAACTATGAGCCTGAATGCTCAAAGCAGAATATTGATTTTTTTTTTTAAACATTCCAAACTTCTGAATTGCAGCGAATTTGCAGAGCGTGAGACTGAAATAACATCTGACATGAAAGTCAGATAAGGAAAAATCATTCCACACAATACATAAATGTATAATTAAATTAAATGACAAAACGTAATGACAGAGTTAAAATGAAATAAAGTAAAACGCAGTATAATATATAAATGATCAAAAATAAATCCAAGTTTATAAACCAGAAATAAAAATATCCGTAATATATAGCTAATACTCATCTGTTCCCGCTGAGGAGCTGCAAAGGAAGATGACTTTGGAACAAAATAAATAAAAATTACTGTTTGGTAGATATACCCCAAATAAAAACTTGCTTGCATTTTTTTTTATCTATTTGATTGGGGATATACCTAAAAACAGCTTGCAAAAACTGCAGATCTCTTGTCTGCTGCCTTTGCAAGCTCTCTCCTTTTAACCCCACCCAGAACCCCAGTTTCTACTCAATACAGCTCAATGAGAAGTCTTTGTAAGGCAGATGCTCTGGGCAATTGCTGCCTCTTGAGCTCAGCTGCATGGAGCTAATGAAAGCAGGAAGTAACATTTCATGTTGTCTGCTTGAAACTCAAGGGGTTGTAATCAGGTTAATTTGTTAAAGTGTCAATTTCTATTGAATTTTGCTCTTTTCGCAAAATGAAAAAAAAAAAAAAAGAGGACACACTCTTCACACATAAAGCTTTTTAGCAAACTAAAGTTGTTTGGGGGTCTGGAGTGACTCTTTAAGTAAAGAGAGAGTAAGCATAATATGAGCCTCCATGTCTTGTAATAAAATCAATGTTATTCTCTTAACCTGTCAGTGGTTTTAATGTTGTGGCTGATCAGTGTAAATAGTATATAAATCTATGTATTTATTTTCAATAAGCGTTTGGCAAATCCCTTGTTGGGACAGTCCTGCCATGTCTTGAACGGACTATTGAGCATATCAACAATAATCAATGAATGTATTTTTAATTATTGTCCACGATGTATTTATTATATTTTTGTTTTAGTGCTGGTATAGAAAACTACTTTACTTTTTATTCATGCATCTTTCAGCTGATTATTAAATAAGTGAATTAATAATAAATAATCCCATTCTTTTTTTTACAACTAGGAACATGTCCTACTGTATGATAAAAGGCTATAAAATCATTTTGGTTATTTCACTGATTGTTGTTCTAAAGTTAAGTTTCAACTATCATCAAATATTACTCCAGGTATGTTTATTCAACGATTACACTTTCAAATATAAAGTTAAAGAAGACAGAGTTTAATCAATAAATAACTATTTTATTGGTTTTCTCCACAGTCTTTCAAACCTCAAATTCTTCAAATATATTCAAAACATAATGTTGCATTCAGAGACTTTTATGAATCCAATACAAAATATATTTCCGAAGAGAAGGACATGGAAATAAACCAGATTTTTGATACCATAAGTAACAATATTTCGAGTGTCCCTTTCAGACATTTAAATCTGGCAACAAGTGCAAAAATGAGCAGAGCAAAGATATTATCTTACCGACAACAGTATTGCAATGGAGATTCTTTAACTGTCCGTGTTGATATGTTCAACTATTTGGGCCAAAGGAAGACATATGGAGGAGATTTCTTAACCGCACGGATCTATTCCACCGATCTTGGAGCTGCAGCTTCCGGAAGGGTTGAAGATTTCAATAATGGATCCTATAACATCCATTTCATTCTATCTTGGGTTGGGAATGTGAAAATATCAGTTATTTTGTATCATCCAAGCGAGGGCGTGTCTGCTTTATGGAGAGCTCGGAATGCGGGATATAAAAATATTATTTTCACCGGAAATTTTCTCTATAAAACTCAGGAGATTGAGAAAGTTTGTGGATTTTATTTAGAATCACAACAAGAAAAATGTGTGTATGCAGATAAAAGAGATGGTGAATTTTTCTACTGCATCAAACCTCCAAATGTGCCATGTGAAGCACTAATTTCAATGAGGTCCAAAATCCATCATCATTCATATCTTACCAAATCAGAAAAGACTATTTTTACCAGGTAAGTATTTCTTAGGGCAGGATAAAACATGAATAAAATAAATCATAGTTCCGGTATGATATTTAAATAATTTTTTCTAGCTTGGAGCAAGTTAAGTCTGACTTTTCAAGTGACTTTTGAAGGTAAAACTATTGGGGGAAAAAAAGAGGTTTCAGTGTGGTTCTCATGCTACGAACAGTTTCCTCCACTGTATGTACCCCATGATTGATTACATACAGATTGAGATGTCAGGGTGCAGAGTCTTCAGGGAAATAGGCAGCCTGGTTATCTAGCAGTATGAACAAATGACACTTTTTTTTAGATCAATAAAAAATTTATTTTAAAATGGTTTAGTTATAGTGTGTTAGTAAAATAAATAAATCACAGAGCCCCAAATGTATATAAGATGAAGACCCCCCCCTCCACCTAGAGTTATGTAAATAAATTTTTCTAATCCATCAAAAGTAAACAATAGCATTGAGCAATAGGGTCTTTTGTCTTGGAAAACGTTCATAACTGAGAAATGAAACATTGACTTCAATAAAAACAAAAATGTATCCTTATCACTAAAGTCTTTTGAGTGCTCTCCTTTATGCAAATGTGTAACCAACAGAGGGAAAAACAAAAAGAGCAATTAAAAAATAATATATATATATATATATATATATTTATTTATTAATTATATAATTATTGCATATAAAATATATAGAGTTTTTTGTCCATTCATTCCTCACGTCGTATTCGCTTCATGAATAAAATGAACTTTTATTGACTGTCCCCTAGCTATCATTCATCATTTTTTTCCCATGAATTATCTCTTTTTTTGGTGCCACATGATGAATGTTTGGCACCGTACATATCAATGGGTCAGTGATTTGGATGCATTTCAGCTCATAACCCAATTGAATCAAACTCGGCCAAATTACAGTTCAGCCTGAAATTAATCTCTAAGTCTAGTGTAAAGATATCAAATTATGGGAGGAGCTGCCCATATATTACCCTAACTCCCTATCCAAGCCCAGTACACTGGCATGGAAGGGTCCTCAACCTAAGTGTTTTCTAGTATTGTAAAGGGAAGCCACACCCATAACACTACTTGAAATGAAACAATTCCCTCCCCTAAATATATGTTGATATAGTTGTGTTTCCATATGGTGAAATAGTAAAATCGCCTAGCTAGTGAAACTCAAACTCCTGTGATAATTAGTGAGCCCTACCACAGCAAACACTATACATCCTGGCTACCCTTGCTGTGAAGAAAAAAACAAGTAAAAATGTATTTCCTTAAATGCTAAACTTGGAAAAAAATATTTGGCCTCTCAAAAAGGAGATCCTATCAGCTTGGTGGCTGGTATTAAAATGAAGGCTTACCCCAAGCATGTCATATTGCATTATTAGTAGTGGATAACATTCTGTCTAACAGTGTATCCTGCTGTTCTGTCTTTTTCCCATTATATATAAGGGTTAGACATGTTGTTCAGCCTGTTTATTATATATTTTTAATCCTAAAAACCTCTTGAATGCCTTCCTACTGTTATGCTATATCCTTTGATATACTTGCTCAAGCTGTTGGGGCATTGCAAGCATAATTGCATCTTTATGCACAACAAAAATAAAGAATATAAGAAAAAAAAATGAAGGCTAACAACGTATCGTTCCCTTTAATAACAGACAGAAATGATTTTTGCTTAGGGCTATTGTGACTGGCTAATAAATGTTGCATTAAAATATATCCAAAACAATAAATTAAAAAACACGCTGATACTCACCTGTGAAATTATTGCATTTGCTGTAAATGCACAGGCAGTTACTCATCAATAACGACACTCACCGTACCTTTATATAGCACTGTTGAGCTTATCCCAGAAGAAGTACAAACACAAAAAAGTAAAACAAAATGAATGTACAAACAATTCTATACAATTATTATATTAAAATGTTATGTATATTATTCATTTATTATTATTTTTTTTTTCAAATTAAAGATCAAATATTGGGGTAGAAATTCCCAGAGACCCTGGAAGCATTGCTGTAACAAATTGTCAAAGTAAGTTTTATCTTGCTTATTCTTTGTTAGTTTCCTTAGGAATACAAGTTTGTAGTTCCTCTGTTCCAATAAAAGGCATTAGTCACTTTTTTCCAGAACAGAGGAATCCTCAGTGCCCCTCGCCATTCCACCTCTTGTGATATCATTGAGGAGGCATGGCTTCCTCCGCCATTGTCCAATCCAAGATTCCTTATAGAGGAGCATATTGGATTTGACTGCGGTGAGTGCTGCATACACCCAGTGCTTTTCAAAGGAAAATATTAAATCCAATCATTTTCTATGAGCTGAGTTCAGACCAGCCGAAATGCCTCTAGTGACTGGTCGGAACCAAAATGCCTCTAGTGCTTGGTATGACATCCCCTAGAGACATGTTTACTCCTATATGACAAACATTGCCCTTTCAAGAAAAACTGTAATGGTTTACCTTGACTGGTTAAATATACAGGACTGTATGGAGATTAAGTGGCTTGGCTGACTTTAGTGGTCCTTTAAGATAAATGTAGATTTTGTTTTGGGACATGGTTAAAACAAATTTTGTTTTCAAAATGTTATTACTTTTTAAATAGTGTTGCTGATTTCTACTATGTCAATTTGATATGAACCTCTTCTACCTCCTTTATTTGCATCCTCTATGTTGTTACTCATCTTCTATTTCTCCAGGTCTTCTTGTTTGTGGGGTCTCCATAAATTAATGGTTCTTCCTGCATAGTAAGCTCCAGGCCACAAATCCCTGACACCCCAAATTATCTCGATGTTTTATGTGCTTAATCACTGGCCAAAATCCAGTGAAAATGACAAAATTCCAACCGCAACTGATTACTAATGCAAAACATGTTTAGAATTTGGTCAGACTGAGCGAATCTGCAACAATCATCCATGTGGGCAAATAGTTAACCCCTTAAGGAATGTCGGACGTTCTATGCCATCCTTTGTACTTACCGGGTCCCCGCCAATACAGCCGCTAGAAGCGCATCTGCGACTTTGGATGTGAAAAATCTCATTCAGCGTGCAGAACGTCCATAGGAAAGCATTGAGAAATGCTTTCCTATGGACTGTTTGAATGCGCGCAGCTCTTGCCGAGCATACGCATTCTGCTCCACTCGACGTCGAAGTGGGAGGAGAGGTCACCAGCGCTGAGGGAGCCCGGCGGTGGATTAAAGTAAGTAGCTGAAGGGGTTTTAACCCCACAAAATCCAACGCATAGATAGAGCCTCTCAAGCCATTCGGCATCTAGCAGGGCCTCACCCATCACCAACCTTGTTTAATGGTTTCGCCACTTGGCATAGCTAGTAAGCCATGATATTGTAAGCGTAATCACAACTACTTCATGCTGTTTAACATATCTCAACGACAGGAAGGTGGAGAGTCCTGTCCAGGGCCGCCATCAGAAATTGTGGGGCCCCTAACACAGCTCAAGGTCTTGGCCCCTGGGTGCCCGCCTCCAAGCCCCACCTCCAAATCCCGCCCACAGGAATACACACACACAGACACAAAAGGACACAGACACACGAACAGAAAGATACACACATACTAACAGACACAAATACTGAAACAGACATACACACATAGACACATACATAGATACAAATACACACACACTGAGGTACATACATACTCATATACTGACACACATATATACAGACATACAGACATACAAACAGACAGACAGACATACACAAAAATACATATTGACGTACATGCATACATACATACATACTGGCATGCACGCACATACATACAGACATACATGCACATACATACATACATATAGACATACACACACACACAGACATACATACTGATAGATATATACATACATACACACAGACATACACACACACATACATACTGACACAGACATACACACACACATGCATACTGACATACACGCATACTGACAAACAGACATACATACAGACATACATACACACACACACACCATACATACTGCGACACATACACACATGCATACAGACACATACACACAGACATATATACATACTGACATACATACACACATACATACTGACACACACAGACATACATACTGACACACACACAAGCTGCGCTTGTCTGTGATAACGCCCCCTGCCGTGCTTAACACACATCCAGACAATAGGGCAGGGCAGGGCAGGCCAGCACCTCCAGGCCATGTGCCCAATTTGGACACCCAGAATTTGAATGGGGCAGACCCATCAGTTACTTCACTGTCTCAAAAAAAGGTGAATTTGTCAAACAACAATGTAAGAGTAGTATTTAAGGGTTTTATTGGACTGCAAGAAATGCACCGCAGGCCGCAAATGTTCTATTTAGCACAAAAAAGGGTGATTTTTTAACCCCTTAAGGACACATGACATGTGTGACATGTCAGGATTCCCTTTTATTCCAGAAGTTTGGTCCTTAAGGGGTTAAACCAACAATGTAAGTAGTATTTAAGAGTTTTACTGGACTGCAAGAAATGCACCGCAGGCCGCAAATGTTCTATTTAGCACAAAAAAGTGTGATTTTTTTAAAACCAACAATGTAAGAGTAGTATTTAAGGGTTTTATTGGACTGCAAGAAATGCACCGCAGGCCACAAATGTTAATTTTTCAAAGTGCGATGTAACCACAGTATTTGACGGTTCTATTTGACTCTCCGATATGAAGTGCACGCCCCAAATTTACTTTTTAGCACCAAAAAAATTTGCATTTTTCAAAGTGCAATGTAACCACAGTATTTGATGGTTCTATTTGACTCTCAGATATGAAGTGCACGCCACAAATGTACTTTTTAGCATCAAAAAAATTTGAATTTGTCAAACTGCAATGTCACAGCAGTATTTAAAAATGCCTAGATGTTGCCCACTGAGCTACCAGAACAGGATGAAAGTAATGTGCCTGGCACACATGCAGTTGCAAGTGCCCACCTAACAAACAGACTGATTGCTCATTTCTCTGTGGCTCTGGGCTCAGGGCAGGGTACAAAAATGTAGTATAGCACCCACAAAAATAAATCGCTGTAGTTTGCAGATTCAACACCAGAATTCTTTCCTAATCTGTCCCTCACAGCTGCAGCATCCTCTCCCTACACTAATAAGAGCTCATGTGACTCCAGCTTATATAGAGGCTGGGTCACATGCTGCACTGGCCAATCAAAGCCATGCCATTAGTAGGCATGGCTGTGATGGCTTCTAAGGGCACACAAGTCAAACGCTTGTTGATTGGCTGCCCTGCAGCTTTTCAAAATGCGCCATTAAATCGCCGAACACCGAACTCGAACCTGAACTGTTACTAAAATGTCCGGGTTCAGGTCAAAAAAATCTTAATGTTCAGTACGAACCCAAACTTTACAGTTCGGGGTCGCTCATCTCTAGCTACGACTGTATAATACTTCATATGTTTCTCAACTATGTCATCTGAGTGCAGCAATATCCCAATATGTACCTTTGCCAGGTACATGTGGATATGTAAGGGGCACGTTTGAGACACAGTCATTCCATTTTTTTTCAAACTTTTTTTTAGCAGGCTATATAAAAGAAGACACCCCAGGGTATTTCAAAATGCATATTTAGAAGCTTAGCGTTTGATAATTTTTCCGCTAGCTTGTACCAAGTGTAGTGGTAATAAACATTTTGTCTGCCTTTTTGACACATAAAGTGAGTTTGCACAATATATTTTGCAAACCTTATGTGTGCTACGACTGTATAATACTACATATGTTGTTCAGCTATGTCGTCTGAGTACAGCAATACCCCTGTATGTACCTTTGCCAGGTATATATGGATTTTGAAGGGGCACATTTGAGATGCAGCCATTCAGTTTTTTTCTAACTTTTAGGTTTTACGCTGTGTCCATGTTCCATTTTGGAGTAGTTTAGCTGGTTTGTTATTCAAACTTCCCCACAAACACATACTACTTATTAAAGAATACACCCTGGGGTATTTCAAAAGGCATATTTTGAAGCTTGGCGTGGGATTTGGCATTTTTTCTCTAGTTTGTTCCAGGTGTAGTGGTAATGAGCATTTTTAAATGTATTTTTTAATTTTTTAAACTTTTTTCACTTTTTTAAACTCGTTTTTAAAACTTCTTTTTGCTTATTAAATTTTTTAAACTTTCCAAAACTTTCTTAAAACTTTTTTTACACATTTAACATTTTTATAAACTTTTTTACCGTTAACCCCTAACAAGCAGTAAGCGGCACTAACAGTAAATTCCCCAATTTCCCATAACTCCCACTAACCCCAGCTAGCAAAATATATAATTTAAAAATATTTTAATTAATTAATGAAATAAATTGAATCCATGAGGGTTAAAAAAAATAAATAAAAGTTGACCATCAGGGGGTAAAAAAAAAAAAAATCAGATCACAGTAAAATGTAGTCCCTGCCAATTGATCAATTGGCAGGGAAGGGGTTAATTTTTATTTAAAATTGGTAAAGGCGGGTGGGATTTTAAACAAACTTTATTTTTTTACACAGGGAGAAAATCACCGCTGATCCGTCTCCCTGCACTTCACACTGGACGCGGAAGAGCAGGGAGGTGGGTCAGAAGTTCCTGCAGCACATGTGCTCGCTTTGACAGCGTGTCAGAGTGATCACTGCTGCAGGGACAGCGCGATTGGGTGCTCCTGGTCTGCCTTGAATACAGTGGCAGACCGGAGGAGTGTTAACCCAGCAATTGCCGCAATCGTGGCCATCTGGGGTTAACGTTAGTGGATGACGGACACAGTCCATCATCCGGCGTTAACTGCTTGCCAGGCACTAAGGGGTTAAAACTAGGTACTGGGCAGTCATTGTTGCTAGAAAACAACCCATAACAGGGGATGGGGCTTGTGAAATAACAAGAAAGAACGTGGACATCGGGTGGAGGACATTCAAAATTTATTGGGGAGAACAAATCATTGCCCATCACCCTGACTCCACCTGTGGCTAGATGGAGGTTATTATAATATAAGAATATAATAAGAGATGGCAGATGGGGGCCCTAATAATAATAATACTAAAAGTGTTAAGGAGCTTATGTCCTCCAAGTGGCCCACACCCACTGGCAGTGGGTAAAGGCCCTAATAGTAAAATTCAAGGAGGAGGACCCAATGACTTCCCCCAGCCTCCACACATTTGCCAACCAATCAGAGCACTCTGACTGCCATGTTTCAAGAAAAAAAAGTCAGTTTTCAAAAACAAATATGTTAAAATTGATATTGTAATTTATCTTTATAAGTTTAAAATGGCAATGTGATAATATGTAAAGACAAAGATAATGTAAAAGATGTAATTTTATTTTGTTTTAATCTATGTCTATTTCAGGAAACTTTACAGATGTGAAACCAAAATGTAGAATTGGGATGCCTGTGCCATATCCAAGTGGATATTTTTTAAATAATTTATGGCACTCAAACTTCTGCAACCTTTCTTCTTTTGAACCATTGTCTCAAATCAATGAGTGTTTAACTGGGAAATTGATATACCTTATGGGAGATTCAACACTTCGTCAGTGGATTGAATACTTCCAAAAACATATGAAGAGTAAGTGTTTACATTATTTGCTCTTATACCTATATATAGATACCTTTCTAGACAAAAGTACATACTAGTACTTTATTGATTAGATTACATTATTGACATCAGCCTCCTGTGTCTGTGGCCTTTGCTTGCTATTTAGCTACATAATGTGTAAGCTACCTACCTACTCTGTATCTTTTTGTTCCTTTATGTATCTTTTTCCCCCAACCTTTTATGCTCACAATATTATTGAGTCGATACATGCATATAAGAAGATGCTGAGTGGCACAACATGGTAACTACTGCGCATGCACACTAGCCCCTCAATGCTTCCCTATGGTGAAACATTGGATTGGCTAAAACCATCAGTAATGATGATCTCTGCACAGAGTAAGTGATGAGAAGTGCCCACCAAGAGAAATAAGGTATAAATTTCACCATACTACCGTAATTTTCTTTTCCTGGATATATCCATGGCAGCATTACGATAGGGTTAGCTCCGCCCACTTGGCTGTTTAGGACAGGAAATAAAGGTATAAATACTCCTCCTTCTAGACTGGATCTCCAGTCTAGTTACAAGCTCCTAAAAAATAAATTGATACAGAAGGGAGGGATGCAATGCTGCCATGGATATATCCAGGAAAAGATAATTACGGTAAGTATGGTGAAATTTTCTTTATTCCTGGCTAATCCATGGCAGCATTACGATAGGGTAATACCCAAGCTCAACATCTCATGGGAGGGAAATAAACAAGCACCCACCAATAATTGTAAAATCAGTTAAGAACAAGCAAACTCTGGACTGCAGAGTTTATGGGAAACTTCCCAAAATTTTAAATAAGGCCACTTTCTTGGAGTATCCAATTTGTGAAATTTGAATAGAGAACAGAAAAACTGTTACAGTCATCTGGCTATACCATAGATATCACATGACTATAACCACCCGTTTCTAGATTGCCAAATCATAATGAAATCAGCAACTTACAATATCCAGGAATCTAACACCTGTCCATTCCTGGACAACAGCATTGAATTATACAGATCTGAAAGATATACCAACAAATGAGCAGGAGAAATAAACCAGGCTACGGAATTAATCTTAGATTATCATGTACAGTAAGAAAAAACACTTGCCCCCAGGCAAAGGCAACTGCAGAGGTACCCAAATTAGTGTTCGATAGGAGGAACAGGGAATCAGACCTCTAACCCAAATAAGCATTGGCATCCTGTTAAGTGCAAAATGGGAGGAAAAGGTATTAGATATAAAATAGCAGAGGAACAGTGGCAGAAACCAACCGTGAGGGAATAGGCCAGGTTAAACAGGAATAGTTTCAAGTCTGAGAACAACTACAGCATCAGGGAAGCTGCTAATTCTTTCAGTTTCTCAGAGATCAGAGACTGTAACATAACCTCCTAAAAAAAAATGTAAATAGAGCATTTTCTCAAGGAGAGAGAAACTACCTGGATGCTATAGGAAAACAGAAATACAGGAACAATTCAGTAATGTAGTATCGTAATAGGTATAAGACTATATAGTGACATCTGAGAACAGAAAATTCAATAAGAACGGAGTTAAATTAAATTGCATGAGACCTACCTTATTATGACACTAAGTTCAAGGTATCAAAGCATTGCAAATATCAGGATATTCTTTATACTTGGATTGTTTCAAAAACATTATGAATGGTAAGACAAGATACGGTTACCAGTAGGTATCAGATAACCGTCAAACTGTGGTTACAAACGCAATTAAAAAAAGTTAATCAAACATGATGAAATTAGGTAGATAAATAATAAGTGCAAAAACAGACACATCATCTGAACAGATACTGCATCTATCCAAAACATAATGTGAAAATTCTCTGGACATTAAATCCAAAATATGGTAACGTTGGATCTCCTAAACCTGGAATATACAGAGATTAGCACAGTCTGTGCCACAACATAGGATAACCAGGCAGGATAAAAAAGCAGTTAACGCCGGATGATGGACCGCGTCCGTCATGCACTAAAGTTAACCCCAGATGGCCACGATTGCGGCAATTGCAAAAAATACAAGTGAATTTTTTAAAGTCATGATAACAGGAAATCCCTTAATGGGATTGAATCAGTTAATGACTACATACATACAGCACCATACAAGACAATTAAACTCTGTGATGGAGCCTTACTTCAAGAAAATATTGGTACAAGAAAAAATACAAGTGAGTTTTTTAAAGTCATGATAACAGGAAAGCAAACCACCATATTAACCTCAGGACTCCTGTTTTCAGGGTCAGGACAATTCACAAGGCCCAGTAACACCTGCAACGCATCTGAAGTAATTAATTAGAACTGCAAGACTTTATTCTGTTACCAGGTGTGTCCTGCAAACTGCAATCCACATGCTAAAGGCTTTCTGGTATGACAAATAGAATGCCTTATACTGCAAGTAAAGCCTCACACCGAATCTAGTTACTTACCCTCACTTCAATAAGAACTGGGCTGTCAATATACACCAGTTTATGCACAGAGGTTATAGTGGATAGACATACAGATAGTCTAATGGGAATCCCAAACAAAGATTATATTCCATCCTTCACTTTAATAAGAACTGGGCTGACAATATTAAATACTGGACTGTCCATATACACCAGTTCATGTACTTATGAGAATCCCAAATAAGATTATCTTCAATTCTAGGCAAAATCTGACAAAATTAAAAAAAAAAAAAAAAAATCACAGAATTTCATAGACCCAAGTTTTAACCTCGACTTATCCACGAGGCATAGCATATTTCACAATTGTTGGTCACAAAACTGCACTCGACTTATACACGAGATCGACTTATACACAAGTATATACGGTAGGTAATCTTAAGAGAAAATTTCTATTTAATTCTAAAAAAACCTTTCACACTCCATTAAACCTGCTTGCCTACATGCTGAGTGTCACAACAACCAGTAATATAATGCCTTATAAGATCATTCTCTTAATGGGCCTGAATTAGTTGTGACCACCACAAGTGAGAATAAATCAATCCACATAATGAATAAAAACCGAGGCAGCAGTGGACTTCGTATTGGATAGGAGTGCCAAAAATAAAGAATATTTTCCATTCTCTGAGGTAAGGCAGGCTGGAAATCACTGCAACATGTCTTGTTGTAAACCAGGTCCAGTGTAGACAAAAAGACCAGAGTTGATATTCTCTGAATTAAGGACTGCCGGAAATTACCCCCACAATCTTGTAATAACAAGGGCCATTGAAGACATTCTCTGAGTTAAGTCCTGCTGGACACCATACCTACACATCTTGAAAAAACAAGGACCAGGGTGGATTTTCTCTGTGCTGGAACACACAGTCACCTTTCTTGTTACAGAAAGGCCAAGAGTGGACTCTCTTGGAATTAAGCCCTGATTGGAATCACTTGTTAACACATCTTGTTAACACAAGGCCCAGTGTGGATAGTCTATGTAATTAAGCCTGATGGAATTCATTGCCACATATCCTGTTAAAAACCAGGGCCAGTGTGGGCTTAGAATTAGGTTGAAAATTCATGAGAACATGTTCCATATAAACAGTGCTACCACCAGGATCATAGCAAATATATTTCTCCTCGAGTAACATATTTTAAGGAGGTTCTCCTTCCGAACACCAGAAATACATCCTTCATCCAGTGACTTATATGTTTATCAATATTTGCACGTACCAATATTATACCGCTACCCCAAGGATCACAGCGGCCGATATCCAAAACCATACATATGTACACTGCAGTTTTACCGCTACCCAGAGGGTCACTGCGGATTTATATCATTATGAAGTATGTGTAAACACCATGCACCGCTACCAATAGGATCACTGCAGCAATAGTCTGAATGTTATAATGTACGTGTCACACATAATAACAGCTGCCAAGAGGATCACTGCGGATTTATATCCTATGACATATGTGAATACACCATGCACCGCTACCATTAGGATCACTGTGGCAATAGTCTGAATGTTAAAATGCATGTGTCACACATATCAACCACTACCATTAGGATCACTGCAGAATAATCATAGTTAAAAAAAAAGTGTATACATCATGCACCGCTACCATAAGGATCACTGCGGTAATGTCATAATGCATGAGTCACTTATAAATAACCGCTACCCTTAGGATCACAGCGGATATAGTTTGCCATCACAATATACCCATATATAACCGCTATCCTTTGCTGCAGAATTCTTCAAATAGTAAGGATACAAGGCATATATTTACCACTATAGCTTACATCGGATAGGTTTTACTGCTACCCAGTGGTCTGATCAGGAGTATCCTTATGTACTTTCCAAAAGTGTACAGCTAAACCCTCCTGGGTAAGAAGAGGTAATCCAAATCCAAATCCAAATCCAAATCCAAATCCAAATCCAAATCCAAATCAGGTAATGCAACTTACCTGAAACCATGTCCACAGCCAAGAGGACAGGAAAAAAGACTGGAGATCCGGTCTGGTAGGAGGAGTATTTATACCTTTATTTCCTGTCCTAAACAGCCAAGTGGGCGGAGCTAACCCTATCGTAATGCTGCCATGTATTAGCCAGGAAATCTGTTTTTATTTATTTTATTCTGTGGGGCAAACATCTAAATAGGCTATACATCACTCTAACTTTAGGAATATATGTTTGTATTCCAAATAGTTTGTTACTTTAGGGACCTGCTGACTACTGACTGCTAACAAATGCTAACAAAGGAGCTCTCTTTGTAAAATATGTATCCCTATTTAATTTCCTCTTAAAATTATTCCAGACCTGAATGTGTAAAGCTTTTATTGTCAGTAAATGCTAACAATTGTATTAATTGTAAAATCTTTTTTGAATTACTTACAAATGTATCATGTAGAGTTATGCATTTATTGTCATCATTTCAAATTACTGGTGTCTTAGAATTGTTACTATTGAGTATACAATATATTTTTCTTTACCTCACAATCTTTTTTAATAGATTTATTTTTTCCCAGGCCTCAAGTTTTTTAATCTTCCTGGACATGGTATACATACAAAATATCTAGCTCTGGACATGGATAGGAATATATATATTCAATGGAAGAAGCATGGTCATCCATTTGTCAGCCCAGGTATCTACTCTGTCAAAGACTGTGCTTACATTGCCCGTGAAATTGATGGACTTCCTGGGAGTCCAAACACCATCATTGTTATTACACTTGGACAACATTTCAGAGGTTTCCCTCTACATTTGTTCATCAGAAGACTACTAAGCGTGCGAAAGGCCATTGAACGTATTTTTCAACGAAGTCCTGAAACCAAGATCTTCATTAAATTAGAGAATTCAAGGGATATAAACACAGATGTAGAACGAATTAGTGATTTTCATGGCTATATCCAATATCTCCTATTTAAAGACTTATTTAAAAGACTTAATGTTGGAATAATTGATGCTTGGGAAATGACACAAGCCTTTGCTTCTTACAATCTTCATCCTCCTGAGACTGTCATTAGGAACCAAATCAACATGTTCTTGTCATATATATGTTAACTTAATATGGTGATTCAATGTTATTAAAATTTTTAAATGCACCTTGATAACACTTAGCAGTCAAAGCTTACCTACTACGAGATTTTTGCTGCAGAGTTGGAACAAATGGGCCAAGCCCTTCCTGGGTTCCTCCAGTCATCTCACTATGTCACCGTTGTACACTTTGACCTGTCTATCCCCAGATATCCAACTATACAATTAGATTAAGGGACGTGCCAGCAGCATAGGCTTCATGTACAATACCCAGGGCATCAAACCCTTTTCTGACCTGCAGTTGGAATTCTCCTCCCATCCAGGGAAATTTTTACTAACCTACGAATTAAGCATATTATTGCTGCCAACCACATAACGCAGAGTCTGCCCCAGCAGGTAACACACTTTTACCAATACTGCATTAATGCAAGCACTAAAAATAAAACATTATCTGTAAGTTATAATGCACTCAATGCCTGAAGAATACCTGACAAACTGCCATATATGGCACACTGGGAAAAGGAACTGAACCTAAACATTGAACCAAAGGCCTGGCTTCAAGCTATGTGCCTGACTAAATCCCCTAGTAGTAGCCTATACCACTGGGAAGCATTTTGTAAGATTATGATGAGATGGTACCAGTGGTGTATCCTGGTTTTGTGGCAGGACAAAACTCAGGCTCCCCCCACCCCTCCCTCCTGCCCCGCCTTCTAAATACACACACACGCATTCACTGACAGATACGCATACACTAGCTAACAGACATATACACACTCACTCACATTAACACTCTCACTTCAAAAAAAATAATAATATCTAACTCCCCCAGCCTCCTTACCTTTGGGAATGTGGGGGGGGGGGGCCTTCTCCCTCTCCCTGGGATCTAGTGGGGCTGCTGGATGGTCGGTCAGGCGGCGCTGGCGAGGGAGCACTTTCCCCTGAGTGCTCTGCTCAGCTCATTTGCGCACCGCAGAGTAATGCCGGGAGCCGGAATATGACGTCATATTCTGGCTTCCGGCATCACTCTGTGGCGCACGAGAGAGCTGAGCAGTGCGCTCAGGTGAAAGTGCTCCCTCACCAGCGCCGCCCACCTGACCGACCGCCCGGCTTGCCAGTTAGCCACAAGGCTAACAAGCCATTTGCCCTGGGCATTTGGGGGCGGCTTTTTTTGCCGCCCCCTGGAAAATGTCACCCAAGGCAAATGCCTTGTTTGCCTCGCAGCTAATACGTCCCTGGATGGTACATAGTACCACAAAAACTTGCAACCTTTTATGCAACAACTTCGGCCACGTGCTGGAGGTGTGGGAAGAACACTGGAACATTCTCCCATATTTTTTACGGCCAGCAAGTAAAGAATATATTAAACAAAGTGACAGATAGGCTTATCCCCTTTCGGCCCGAATGTTAACTTCTACATATAGTAACTTCTCTACACGAAGACCCTCACTAAACAGTGATTATTCAGGTACTCCTCACAGCAAAAATTACAATAGCGAGAAATTGGAAAAGTGTTCACTCCCCAGTGTTGATGAGGTGCTTGCAAGGGTGGACTCTATGTACCATTTAGAAAAAATGGCTTATAAAGAGGCAGGGAAACTGCTTACAGTAAACATTGGCAAAGCTGGACATCGTTGTATAATTCCTAATTCTTTCAAAGGGAAATACCACAAACAAGAAATAATATAGGATTAACAATATATTGAAAAAAAGGGGGGAACAATACTGATCTTTTGATGTTTGGAGGTAATGTAGGTGGTGATGATTACGGAAGCATTCACCAAATAGGTATTTTGGTGAGGCATGGGGATCTCATGGCCTCCCTCCTAGACTCTGGTTGATCTTCTCTTACTGTCCTTCTCATATTGTCCCTTCTTTCTCTTCTCCCTCTCCTTTTCCCTTTCTCTCATGCTACGGTTACTATATGTTCATCACTGTCATTGCTACTAATGGAGCAGGCAAAATACTGCAGTGTTTATCAAGAGACAATCTCATTAACCCTTTACAAAGCAATGAGTGTGGAATAATATGTGTTAGAACATAAATGGTTAGCTATTTGGGGCTTGGTTAGCATGCCGGAACATCTTAAATTTAGCCTCTATGTGGTGTGATTATGTGACCTTCTTTCTCAAGCAGGCAATCTGCATTGCAAGCATGCAAGACTGTTTTACACCAAAATGTACATGTATAGCACATGAAATGTTATATTATACTGTATTTATCCATTGACTTATTTAACACTGTATCATACTAATGCAATGTATTGTGATGAACGTTGTGTTATATGCATTATTTTTTTTTTTAATTTTCCTTCTGTTCATCAAAAAAAAAACAACTTCAATAAAAATAAGATATTGAAAAATATTTTTTTTAATGATTTTTGTGGACATTTATAAACATAGTTAAACTGATTGGTCCATATAGACAAATAAACTTTTTTTTTTTCAAGATTTTGTTGCGGTCATCTACATTTCTTAAATAAGTGTTTATTACAGAAATTAACAAGACATTGAAATAGATGATTAAACAAAACATCTCAATACATAGGTTGCTGATAAAATTATATTGTGAATCGCTTGCTGAAATGTTCAGAGACTCCAAGATATAACAATAAGTCACAGCAATGAGTACACAAAAAGCTTAACCTTAAACGTTAAAATGACACTGTTTCAATGGCATTGACTTATTCACTGAGATGGGGAAGAGTTGAGGAAAATAACCCATTCTGTGAGCTCTGGAGAATGAGAAAGGCTTGCTCCACAACATATTGTCATTCCAGTGGACTCCACCACTCCAAGTTGACTACAGTTGATATATTTTTGTATCCTGGATACTTCCAAAACTTAGTCACCAACTCCAGACCACGGTTCCACAAGTATCTAACCAGACACTAAGAGCCTTGTCTATCTATACCACAGTTTACTTATAGACTAGGTTTGCAAGGCTTTAAAGAAACAATGAAATAACTGAAATCTGACTCTGAGAAACTATTATTGGCCATTCAGTCAGAACAGGTTCCGCTTTGCCACAGAGGCCACACAACTAATCGGGATTGATGTCTCAAAAAATACAGTTGGGCATCCAACTGGAGACTGAAAACTCATGAGAATATATTTAAATAAAAACAAAGAGAAAGTTACCTGTGCTATGGCCCAAATCCCTATGTACATTTAAACAAAATGGAGGCTCTTTAGTTTCATTACAATGGCCATTTGAATATAAGCTCACCTGCCACATCATGAGAAGCCTCAAAAGGTGAGTATTACACTAGCCATTAGATTTGCTGATATCAGCCAAGAATCTCCAATAATACAGGAAGGGGTATTTTATAATCCCTTTATAGGGCTTCTACACATACAATAAACTTTGCTGGTATCAGACAAAGGTAACGTCTCTAATGAGACATGAAGAGGTGGTTTTTGGCGAAGTACCATCAAGGCCTCCTGCTATTCTCCAACAGGGAAGGACTCGGACTCCAGAAGCCCCCAAGTCTGTGGCTACGCAATGTTGGTCCTCACCCAGGACTGGAGCTAGAGGAACGGCTCTGCTTGCTTTTACCTGGCCGCTGCCACCAACGTCCTCCTCATAGTACTGCAAAATTTCCCAGAAGTGGGCATAGGATGATTGTGTCTATGGATGACCCACATCTGCACCCAGCCCACAACCTACCATTGTTATGTGGATGCCTACAAGCAGCCATCGGAAATTTTGGGTCTCCCAAAGCCTCAAAGTTGTATTAAGTTGATGTACTGTACGCTCGCTGTCTTCCTTTTTATTATGATTTTTCATTCTTACGGTACACCACTCACCTGTTGAGCAATAATTACAAAAATCTTGATAGCACTGCCTTTTAATATGAAATGCAACACTCTATGTCTTAGATGCTGATTGGGGTAGTGCACTGCTGTCTGCAGTGTTTATGTTTTTTAATGTGGTAATAAGGTGGGTCAGTGCCACTTAATCTTATCTATGTAGGTCCTAACATTTACCCAAGTCTTACTTAGCCTGGCATGTCTCCTAGCTACACAACTCACTTACAAATGTTTGCTCTACCAATACCAGGTATCCTGTTTATTAGCTGGGCAGATCTGACTAGACATGTTCCTATCCTGTTCTCTTTACTATACAGGGAGTGCAGAATTATTAGGCAAATGAGTATTTTGACCACATCATCCTCTTTATGCATGTTGTCTTACTCCAAGCTGTATAGGCTCGAAAGCCTACTACCAATTAAGCATATTAGGTGATGTGCATCTCTGTAATGAGAAGGGGTGTGGTCTAATGACATCAACACCCTATATCAGGTGTGCATAATTATTAGGCAACTTCCTTTCCTTTGGCAAAATGGGTCAAAAGAAGGACTTGACAGGCTCAGAAAAGTCAAAAATAGTGAGATATCTTGCAGAGGGATGCAGCACTCTTAAAATTGCAAAGCTTCTGAAGCGTGATCATCGAACAATCAAGCGTTTCATTCAAAATAGTCAACAGGGTCGCAAGAAGCGTGTGGAAAAACCAAGGCGCAAAATAACTGCCCATGAACTGAGAAAAGTCAGCGTGCAGCTGCCACGATGCCACTTGCCACCAGTTTGGCCATATTTCAGAGCTGCAACATCACTGGAGTGCCCAAAAGCACAAGGTGTGCAATACTCAGAGACATGGCCAAGGTAAGAAAGGCTGAAAGACGACCACCACTGAACAAGACACACAAGCTGAAACGTCAAGACTGGGCCAAGAAATATCTCAAGACTGATTTTTCTAAGGTTTTATGGACTGATGAAATGAGAGTGAGTCTTGATGGGCCAGATGGATGGGCCCGTGGCTGGATTGGTAAAGGGCAGAGAGCTCCAGTCCGACTCAGACGCCAGCAAGGTGGAGGTGGAGTACTGGTTTGGGCTGGTATCATCAAAGATGAGCTTGTGGGGCCTTTTCGGGTTGAGGATGGAGTCAAGCTCAACTCCCAGTCCTACTGCCAGTTCCTGGAAGACACCTTCTTCAAGCAGTGGTACAGGAAGAAGTCTGCATCCTTCAAGAAAAACATGATTTTCATGCAGGACAATGCTCCATCACACGCGTCCAAGTACTCCACAGCGTGGCTGGCAAGAAAGGGTATAAAGAAGAAAATCTAATGACATGGCCTCCTTGTTCACCTGATCTGAACCCCATTGAGAACCTGTGGTCCATCATCAAATGTGAGATTTACAAGGAGGGAAAAACAGTACACCTCTCTGAACAGTGTCTGGGAGGCTGTGGTTGCTGCTGCACGCAATGTTGATGGTGAACAGATCAAAACACTGACAGAATCCATGGATGGCAGGCTTTTGAGTGTCCTTGCAAAGAAAGGTGGCTATATTGGTCACTGATTTGTTTTTGTTTTGTTTTTGAATGTCAGAAATGTATATTTGTGAATGTTGAGATGTTATATTGGTTTCACTGGTAATAATAAATAATTGAAATGGGTATATATTTGTTTTTTGTTAAGTTGCCTAATAATTATGCACAGTAATAGTCACCTGCACACACAGATATCCCCCTAACATAGCTAAAACTAAAAACAAACTAAAAACTACTTCCAAAAATATTCAGCTTTGATATTAATGAGTTTTTTGGGTTCATTGAGAACATGGTTGTTGTTCAATAATAAAATTAATCCTCAAAAATACAACTTGCCTAATAATTCTGCACTCCCTGTATCATAAAATTGTGCTCTATCCTGGCAATGCCACACAACGTTATATTGTACGTATGTGCAGCATCTGTTAACGCTATGCCATTACTTCACTATGACTATTGTTGTACTTGTGACAGCTGTTGTGGCCTCGCAAGCTAAACTGTATTTTTTGCATACACAGCAAAAAAATAAAATAAAAAATTAAGGGGTATTTTTTAAACCCCTACATACTTTTTAATATAACATCTCAACATACAAATCACCTTGCTGGTATCAGCTAAAAGGCAAATATCTCTGTTGAGACAGGAAGGGGTGCTGCCCCTACATACCTATAAACTCTTAATAGAGCAAACATGGGTTGATGGCAGCAATGTATCCCTCCTTGGATTCAAAAATAAATATTGACAGATCACTGTATCAAATCATTTTTAAAACCTGATTCCCATGTAGTATGTGAAGTTAAAAGTGTTTGAGGTGTTGTAATAAATGGAGTTGAGAAACCTGACATGCGCCCAGATCTCCTGAATCCCATTAAAACATTGACACAGATTTTTCTGTTGGAATTGTTAGTCCACAGCTTTATTATTAATAATTAATTAAGGTATAACAAAATAGGGTCATTTCCAACAAATATTTTATTAAAACCAACATCCCCCCTCATACATAACATACCCCTGGCAATGACCCCACAATAATAACAATATATAACAATATAACTAAAAGATAACACATAACCCGGCAGTCCAAATAGCCATGTTTCCACAGGATGAAATTGTAAGGTTGTACCAAGACACTCCTACACCCACAGGTTTGGAGCCACCGACAGCTTGAACCTACAAACCAAGTGTAACACTGCTTAATCCACACTAAACCATGCCCACTTCCTACTCGATCTACCCCCCGATTTAACCTGGCCATACCCTGCTGCAGTGAATAAAATGGGAAAATAAAAACAAAAAAACCCACTATTGACAAGTGGGAGGGACAACTAACAGGTAAGTTTAGGTTTAGTTAAAATGGCCACTTCATAAAATGGCCGGTATATATATATACTGCAGATAAACCCCTCCCCCAATCACCAACTGTCACTTAATTCAAACTGGTTCCTATGCCTACCTCCTGGCTCTGTCAAGCCCCACTCCCCTAGCTGTGCTGTTCCATGGGCTACAAGATGGAATGTTTGCGAAGAGGTAAAGAATGGGAAGAGATCCTTTTGAGGTATGTTTTAATAGCCTGACTGAATCTACATTGGTGTTTTGTATGGAGAATGTTTCATAATGTTAGTCATATGGAAGCAGCGTAATCAAATAATAGCAACCTTTGACATTGATATAACAATATAGATAGTTTATTGGCCTTACAAGTTAAACATGTTCTAATCCAATTTGAAAATAGCCAACTGTCCTACAAACCTCAGCAGAATATTATAATTAAGATAAAATATTGTTTGATTTCTGTTGTCCTTGTAAGTCTGTAGAGTTAGTGGTCAGTCACTCTATATTTTGACTAATTAATCCTAAATTCCCAGCATAAGGAGTATAGTGTAATTAGTGATTTTTGAAAAAAGTGAGTTTTTAAATAGCTCTATTATAACTTTATATGAAGTTTAACCCCTTAAGGACCGAGGACGGCTCAGGACCGTCATCTGCATTTTTACATTGCCGACCGGTGACGGTCCTGAACCGTCCTAACGGTCAG